TGAAAGGGTTAAATAGTTTCATTATTTAGAATAAGAATTATGAATTACTAGGTTATAAGTTAATTGAATTTAGTTTAGAAATAAATTAAAAGTATAAAAAGAAAGTTCCCTTATTAAATAAAGGTTTTATTATTATCAAAAGTTAATTAAATCAGGTTGATTAAAAGTTAATTAATTAAATAAAATAAAGTTAATGATTATAAATTAAATGCTAGATTAAAGGTTGATTTAAAAAAGTTAATTAAGTTATTTGATTATTAAAATTAATTGTTATAATTAATTAAAACAGGAATTAAAAAAAAAGAAAATGAAGAGTTAGAAAAGGGGCGGGGGGAGCAGATGGATTCAGCGCGGAAGGTTAGTGGGGGTGTATGGTGTGCGGCGTAGTGTGACGCGTACGATTTAGATCAGGTGATAAGCAGTGTCTGTGATACGGTGTGGTGCACGGTGATATCATGGGCGTGCCACACCTGATTACAACAAATATAATAAAAATTAAAACCCTAATCCCCAAATTACTCCCCCAAAATCCCTCCGCCGCTACCCCTCTCTCTCAACGTGATTCTGTCTTCTCCATCATCTTCGAATCTCTCTTCTCCAACTCATTCTTCTACTTCCATCTTCTCCGATTATTCTTCTTCTCCCCCGCTTTTCTACACCTCTAACGATTTCTCCTCTTTCTTCCTTCTTTCATCTTCTGTTCCTACATAAACAACAAAACAACAAAGTTTAAAATGTCAACAAGAATCTCACTGTTGCAATGGCCCTTTTTTTTTGCAGGGATGTTGACAGTGGTGATCATGATGATGAAGGATGGCGGAGGAATCCGGTGGATCGGTGGTGTTTGGGTGAAAGGGTTTCCGGCGCGATGATCTCAATGGCGACAGGTGGAAATTTCCTGCAAAGCTTCAAAAAGATAAGTTTTTTTTTTTTTTTTACAATCTAGGCTTTGAACAGATTTCTGGAGTTTTGAATCTACGGGTCTTGCGGATTCAGGACTTTCAGGCTGTTGTTAAATGTTGTGTTTTTTCGCTTTTGATCTCTGAGTCCCCCTCTCTGAAGCAGTATTACGTCCCTTTATAGCTCTAAACGGTTCCGAGTGATTAAGGCGTTGCTAAATGTGTTTCCTTTTCGAGCTGAGCATGTCCGGATCATGTTGGACCTTATTTTGGAAATAATGTGAATGGGTTTAAAGTTGTATCAGATCTGTTGCAGTTCATGATACGAATCTTCCCTTTCATTTGTTGTGGTAATAACGGTCCTTGTTGTACCCTGTCTTTTAAAAAATTGATGAATTTTCAGATTCTTGTTTCTGAACCGTATTAACACTTCTTCTTCTTCTTTCAGGAAATGGATGTAATTTCAGATATTGCCTATCTTATGCTGCCGCCGAGAAAGGGTTTTGGTGATGATGATGTAACAGTCTGAACCATAAGGGCTTGATATTACTGTTGTTGCCTTTGATATTGTTGGTGTCTTATGACGATTATATTAATGGCTGTCCGAAAGTTGCTTTTGTCCGAAATTCTGTTTTTCGATGCTTTGTTGGAAGCTGGCGGCGACTTTGGTTGTTGCCCTTCTGGCTGCTCGAGCTCGCCCGATAATGATTCAAAAACTGAGGGCTGAACCTAATTCATTTCTTCTCAATTCTTAAACTTCAATTTATTTCTTTAACGACATTTTGATTATCGATTGTGTTTTGCAGATGAAGATACTGCAGGTGCGCTTGTGGATACGAGATAAAAAGAGAAGGCCAACTCAACCAAGCCCGCGAGTAACAGGAACAGCTTACCCGTCAAGTACCACAAAGAATGTGAATGTTAGGCGAAGTCAAACATAAGTTCTGACAACGGCAATGAAGTTCAAAGTGTGGCCTCCCTATTCCTTTGGTTTTCACGCAGTATGGATGTGCTTTTACAGAGCACTAACATGTTGTATCATAGGCGCATATGTAAATGAAATAGTGGTGTTGACCACTAATAAACCTTTATTTCTTTTACCAATAACAGAGGGAGATTTCCTTGAATATACCCATAGCCACTTAGATACATGTTATTATGAATAGGAAATTTAACTTGTAATCCTTGAGGAACAGAACTTCGAATTGATTTCACATTGTATGCCCTTTTGAACCGTGAAATGAATAAGAGCTTCTCATTTAAAATTTGTATTTGAAAATAATCTAGGAACTCCATATTACAGCTTTAAAGTCGTGATCTTAGGTTGGCATCCAATCCATGAAAATCTTCTAAACTTTCTCTTTCGAAATGATCTTCTAAACTTTCTCTTTCGAAATGATCTTCTAAACTTTCTCTTTTGAAACGATCTTCTAAACTTTCTCTTTCGAAATGTGGATGTAAAGAAAATGTATTTAGCATGCTGTCGTGACAAAATTTCTCGTGTTTTGTAAATCTCGGATTTTCAAAGATAAATCTCAAAATGTTCCAAAATGACCTTGCCCTAAACAGTGTTCTGAGACCCTCAAACTCCTTTGACTTTGAATGCGCTTTAAAAATAGGATTAAGTTGTACTTGGCAACTTCAAAGAAAAAAACATACTTGATCTCCAAAATAAACTGAATTGTGAACATAACTCAGACCAAGAAACTAAAGACAACATGAACTCTAGATACGAGCCCCTTATGGCTTACAAATCAAATAAAATCGGTATCAATTAGATCAGAACAAATCCTTGAAGGTATCCCTGCATCATGGTCCTAAAATCAATTCAAAAAAGGTCTTAAACCCGTTGAATGGGATCTTGAATCGGAAACCGGAGGTCATGTCTCGGAATTTTGGCCGTGAACGGGCATCTTCCATTAAAATTTAAGACAATTGCACAAAACTGTTAGTCACAATAAATATGAATACAAAATTATAAAGCCAAAATAACGCAAGAAATATACAAAGAGGTGGGATCTTAAAGTCAAAAATTAGGGTGCGACAGATGCCCATGAACATCTTCTACAAGTTTGATTTTAAATACATTATAATTCACACCCATATTAAAGGTTTCATTAAGACATAAACAATAGTTTGTCTTAACCAAGAACCTAGCCACATTAAGTTTTGTTAATTATTCAGTCTCTTTATCACATCGTATGAACTCTCCTATCGCACTAGACACTAGTTTAAAGAATTTTGGGTGCCATGCGTGCACTAGGAGGCCATAACAATGTAACCAGGTGAGTCTCTCCACGTTAATCGATGATCATGGATGAATGTCAGAGAAACACCGGGTTACCCAAGCCTTATCCTCCTTCACCATAGCGACAATATTACCCTCATCCAACTCCTATAATAAGCATAAATTTGCTCCCATGGGTGTGACTTTGATGCAGGAATACCCCCCCCCTGTATGCAATATATCATGAACATTGTAACTTGAACCTGATTTCTGGACCACCCCAACGTAAGGTTTCTCAAATCAGGTCATGTCAACCTCTTCGATATGAATTTGCAAGTGAGCAAAAGTGAGTTTTCTCTCCACATAACCTTGATGATGAAAATCCATTCTCTTAGTTCTTATGACCCCACTTCCCTTCTGACCTCTTTGACCACCCTCATCGCAGCATCCTCCTACCACCCGAGCGTATGAGGCTTTATTTTTCCCAGGAAGCTTGTTCCTATCTCTTTGTTCCGCTCCACATCCTCATTATCATTACGTGTAAAATCATAATTTTTCTGTTTCTTGATTTCTCTCTGAAACCTTAGGATGTTGACATAAATATTCTTCCCTTGAATGAGAATATTATCCAACTTCACCCCCAATAACCTTGCATTTTCAACTTGCTTGAAGCGATAAAAACCAAATCGTTTTCTGTTGGCGCAACAATCGGGGGGTCAAGCGATGAACATTCTAAATGGTGGAACATCCTTCTTAGAGCAACACACCACATAATCACCCCAAATCTTAAAGTGATTGGTGGGTGGGTTCTCTCACTTATAAATAGTCAAGTCACCACGTTCATATCCAATGTGAGACTATTATCCACACTACTCACATTTGTAATTCTTTTTCAATATTTCCCACGTCTATCTCTTCACGTCGGGATGGAGACTTCTTCAACCAACCCATATTTTTTGAACACTTGAAATATCTCCCGCGCTTCATATGAATCCGAAAACTCAGTGAAAAAGAAACTAGTTGTTGCTCTCTTTCCCCACGACCTTTGCCTCCTTTCGCCTTCTAGATTGAACTCCTTGCCACTGTCAATTGTTGTTGTTTTTTCTTTGAACCTCAACCCGCTCTTTCATTATTTTAAAAAAAATTCTTGAAAGTTGGAGTATGTATTGAAAAATCTAAAATAGTAAGTTTATGTTTACACAACAGATCATCGGAACCTCAACCCGCTCTTCCATGATTTTAAAAAATTTCTTGAAAGTTGGAGTATGTATTGAAAAATCTAAAATAGTAAGTTTATGTTTACACAACACATCATCGGAACCTCAACCCGCTCTTCCATGATTTTAAAAAATTTCTTGAAAGTTGGAGTATGTATTAAAAAATCTAAAATAGTAAGTTTATGTTGACACAATACATCATCATCGACGGACAATTTTAGTGATATAGCTGTAGTTTTAACATGAACAATGAAACTTAATTATGTTTTTCATTTATTCTAATACATTCAAAACTTCAACAAAATTATACTCAGATGTAATTATTTTGTGCTTTCCTTTCCCTTAGCCACCTTATCTTTATTGCAAGTTAATGCCCAAAACGTTTCAATATTAAAATTTTACCCCAAAGTAGATTCTTCAAGTATTCAGTTTCGTTCCCTCTGACCCATTTCTTCCGTTGATCTCTTCACAAATATATAGATAGAAGATATTTAGAGAGAGAGAAAGAGGGGGAAAAGAGATAGAGAGAGAAAGTTTGTGTTTTCCGATCGAATTACCATATGCTTCTGTAACAATTGAAACAACGGAAACGGCTCTTTCGAAAATTCAAGCACCAACATCTCAGATTTGATCCTTTTTCTATAATCTCAATTTTCCATGGAATCAACGGAACTTCCTTCTCCGTGTCATGATCAACCCTCATCCTCCTATAATTCCAATACAAGGTCTGAATTTCCCTCTTTCTGATTATCCATTTTTTCTCTGTTAATTTCCAATTTGCTTCATTTTTTTGTTGCACTTGAAATTCAGATTCTGGGCTGTAACTATTTGATTATAAACTTTGATGCTTGATTATGATTTTTCTATCCATTTTGCTCTCATTTTTAGTTGTACCCTAAATTATGTTTATCTGGTTAAGTAATTTTTAGTGAACTTCAATTAACAGTATTGATTCAAAGACTAGCTACATATATGAGTCAGGGCCAGGGCTTGCTCCGTCATTTTAACTTAGTTAGAGGATCAGGTCAAAGTAATTTGATTCCTATTTTGCCTAATTTCTTTTTCCAAATCAATCAATTGAGAGTATCTAACAACTTTTTGGGCCCTAAAGTAAAATAATCGGATTTAATTACCATAAATACTTGACAAAGTTTGTAAATTTATGGAGCATTTAATCTGTCGACTCATCAGAGTAATTTATGGAGCATGTCTTTCTAATCTATTAAATAATGCAAAACTTACCATTTTAATCTTTTAACCACTCGTTAGCACTTCTCTTTTTTTAAAATTTATGTTTCTGCTGGTTTGTTGATTGGATTTCAGACAACTTAATCAATGAATGAAGTTTTAATTCATTATTGCAGCCGGGGAACAGATCACACTTCCTTGTTTATAGTGAATTTGGAGTATTATATTTTTTGTAATAATGTTCCTAACATGATTCTTTTAAATTTGGGCAGTGGTAGAAATGTCTTTAGCTTGCTAGCTCAAAGAGAGATTTCACCTAGAACCAAACATGTACGGAAATGGCACTGGGGAGAATCTTCTAAATCAAAATCTAGTTGTTCCAATCATAAACCAATGATAGATGCGAAGTGTGGTCTCCTCTCATGGTACTTACACAACTTTATTCAGTTCAGTGTATACTTTATACTAAATAAAAACCAAGCCTTTTGAGGACTGGGAATTTATTTCCGTTCTCTAGGAAAGTCAATTTCGAGTACTGACATTTCTAAATGTGATTGCTAGGGTTGAGGCTGAGTCATTGCGGCATTTGTCAGCCAAATATTGCCCTTTATTGCCTCCTCCACGGTCTACTATTGCAGCAGCATTTAGTCAAGACGGGAAAGTGCTTGCCTCCACACAGTAAGTTGTAATTGGTTTTTATTCTCTTTTGCCAATTTGAATCGAGGATCTTTTATGATCAAAATTTTGTGTTTTTTTGGCATGTGCAGTGGTGACCACACAGTAAAGATCATTGATTGTGAAACTGGAAATTGCTTGAAGGTATTAGTTGGCCACAGAAGGACACCTTGGGTGGTAAGCTTGGCTTAACTTCTTGTCTCTATCCTTTTTATTTACTTTTTTATGGTTGAGCCAAGTGAATAGTTTTATATCATATCTCAACACCCCTTGAGAGTGTGGTGGGCTCATAAGCCACATCTCCTTGAATTGGAACTAAGATTTGAGACCAACTTGGAAAGTACTTTATTGAATATTACTTATTGATGATAACTGTACAATGGAGCATGAATTAACAAGTGTTATTACTACTTTCCTATACTAGAGCTACACTATGAGTTACAAGCATGTCCTAATAAAAGGAAATCAGGTAACCTGTCTGTACTAGGAAATGGAATAGAAACAGTAATTCTCAACAGAATTAATATATTTCCATTAAGTTCAATGAGATATATTCAGAAGATGATACAATTTATGGAGTGGAGTTTATAGATTTTTTTGATAACAAAGCACTAACCAGCTACTCAATTTTGACTGTTAGTGTTTACTTCATGATATCTCATTTAAAATTAATTTCATGCTTCTTTTCCGTTGTATGTAATTTTATACCATGTTATTTCCGTGGCTTGTGAAGTGAGTTTCGTTTTAGCAATTTCCAATTCAAGCGAGTGAAAAATGTGTGCTGTTGAATAATTTTTCTTTAACCAAGACTTTTTTTTTGTTGCTCTTTTTGGATAATTGCATGGGTACTTCTTTGAAGTAGGAAACACCAATTATATAATATTTTTTAGTCCCTGTAATTTCTAATGCCAATTAGTGGCCTTGTGCCCATTGTTACAGAATATCAGAACCATGTTAGGCATATGCCCTGATGGGATTTTGTGTTTCAAATCCTAGCACAGTCATAGTGTTGTGCATTAAAAACTCTAAATTGCTGTAAAGGGAACATAGAAATGCTCTTTGGTTTTGATAGTAGATGCTCTATCTTGTTGATTCTTTATTTGTTGACAAAACCAACTAGTTTGAAGTTAGATTAAGGAATGAAAATAGGTATTTATCTCAAGATGTAATAACTTGGAGATCCGAGCGGGCAAAACAACTTTGTTGGTGGATGTTTGTGTTCTTCGATCAGGGTAGTTTAAACCTACCTGGGAACAAAGTGGTTAGAGACCTTGGCAAAAACCACGAGCTTAATTTAAGATGGTTGTACTGTCATTATCAAAGGGAATCCACACTGGTGATCAATGGTGTATCTAGAATCATAGCCTAGGAGATGCGGAAAAATAAAATAAAATTCAAGGCCCCTCTTGGGTCTTTGGTGCCAAAAACGAATTCAGGGTTTCAAAATGCAAAATATATAAGAGTATATGTGCAATTTTTTTAAAGTTTTAGGGGGTTCAATTGAACCTTCTCAATATAGTGTAGCTCTGCCACTTGGAATAATGTATTTATTGGCTACAGGTTAGGTTCCATCCATTGCATCGACAGATACTTGCTAGCGGGAGCTTGGACCAAGAAGTTCGTTTATGGGATGCTAGCACATCAGAGTGGATTTTATCTCACTATTTCAGTAACTACACTGCCCATCTCCCCTTTTCTTTTCTTAATCACATATGACATTATTATTAAACTTGTTTGTTCTTCTTCTTTTGCTTGCATCTCAGATCGCCCTATTGCATCTCTTGCTTTCCATGCCAGTGGGGAAATAATTGCTGTTGCATCAGGCCACAAGGTAACAATATTGCATCGTATTTTTTCCAAAAACCTACCATATTTATAACCTTTAGTGACTTGTTCTATGTTTTTTTAAATCTTGTTCGTTGTGATTTTGAATACTGTCAGTTGTACATGTGGCACTACAAAAATGGAGGGGAATCAACTTCACCAGTTTTTGTGCTGAAGACAAGGCGCTCACTACGGGCTGTGCATTTTCACCCGCATGGTGCACCGTATCTTTTAACCGCTCAGGTGAGTGAAGTGACTTGTTTTAAGTTAACTAGCTTCTCGTGCTATAAAAAATATTACTTTTTGGATTTTCTTTTTTGTTACCTTATTTGGATTGATGTGCAGGTCAATGATCTTGACTCTTCAGATTCCTCAATGACGGAGGCAACATCTCATGGTTACTTACAATATCCTCCACCAGCTGTTTTTGTCACAAATGTTAATTCGAGGATGCATATCAATATGTCAAGTGAACCACCCTATGTATCATTACCTCTCTTCTCCAGGCCTTCATATACTGTAAATGAGTCAAGAGTAGAACTACAGCATGCTAGTAATGATGTTGGTTCAAGTAGCATGCAGGTTCAGTCATCTTCTGTAGCTCAGTTTCAAAGTCACACAAGTCCAACCGAACAATATCAAACTCGATTGTCAAACTCCGAGATACCTAACTCTCAAACTGGTGCAGAATATGTTGTCCATACTACTTTACCTAATCAAACAAGAATTGGCATCAATAACCTTACAAATGGTGGTACAGCGACTGATGAAACAGAACCAGAACCAGAACCAGAACCAGCTGAAGAAATTAATCATGGAAACCCTGATCATGTCCATTCTCTTGATGGGGGAACGCTACATGACCCATCTAGGCATGCTGTAAAACCCGAGGATCTCTCTGAGCTTGGTCAATTTCCTCAGATTGTTCCTTCACGAGATTCAAGTGGATGGGAGTTGCCTTTTCTGCAAGGATGGTTAATGGGTCAAAGCCAAGTTGGTGTTCCCTCAATGCTTCCTCACATTGGAGGCAGTGATGACAGCCTTCCTCAACAGATTGGTTCTTCAACTATGCCATCTAATCCGTCGACTACTAATGTTGAGGTAGCAATTCCACCTTCAGAAATACCTAGCGGCATCAGCATACCAGCAGTTTTACCACCAGGTTTACAGGGTCGATTTTCAATAACCCGTCGTGTACCTGTATCTAATTCTGGAAATCTTGTTCCATCTATTAATGCGACACACGATGTTGAGGTAGCAACGCCACCTTCAGATATGCCTAGCAGCATCAGCATACCAGCAGTTTTACAACCAGGTTTACAGGGTCGATTTTCAATAACCCATCGTGTACCTGTATCTGATTCTGGCAATCTTGTTCCATATATTAATGTGCCACACGATGGGTTTGATAGCCAAACCATTATAAGTCGAATTCAGGCAGAACTTGCAACATCAGTGGCCGCTGTAGCTTCTGCAGAGTTACCTTGCACTGTTAAGTTAAAAGTGTGGTCATATGACTTAAAAAATGCTTGCACCCCGCTACAACGGTGCTGTCTAACTATACCACATGTCGTCTTATGCAGGTACCTTCTGAAATTATGAGCCTATCATATCTGCTCTAGCATGTGATTGACAGTGTTACTGTTAATTTGCTCGCTTTTGCATGCATAATGTGAATTGAAATGCTTTTCTTTCTTCTTGTGAATGAACACAGACTGATTACTTGATGGGAATTGCTTAACATTAATGTTTTGTTATATAAATATTTGGAGTGACTTTGTGGAACTATACTCAATTGCATTTAGATTTTGAGTTTACATTTTTGTTTGCAGTGAAATGGGTGCCCATTTTTCACCATGTGGTAGATTTTTAGCCGCCTGTGTTGCATGTATGCACCCTCATATAGAAGCTGATCCAGGATTGCAAACTCTTGTACACCAGGAGTCTGGAGTTCCAACATCACCAACTCGACATCCAATCTCAGCACATCAAGTAATGTATGAGCTCCGGATATATTCCCTGGAGAAATCAACGTATGAATCATTCCTTCAACAATTGCTGCTAATAATTTAATTATCCCTCTCAGATGCACTTGAGTCAAGCATGTCCGTCTAAGTTTCTGTAATATACATTTCTTTTTAACAGATTTGGATCAGTGCTTGCATCACGAGCGATTAGAGCTGCTCATTGCCTGACATCAATCCAGGTCAGTTAATTACTTTATCATGTGGTTGATGTACTTTGCAAACTTAAAATAATTTAGTTTTAAATATATTATTGTTTTTGACACAAAAGTATATTGTTGTTGAAAGCTATTTATTTCAAATGTAGTTCTCACCTACATCTGAGCATATACTGCTTGCCTATGGTCGGCGTCATGGCTCTCTTCTTACAAGCATTGTCATTGATGGAGAAACAACATTACCAATATATACAGTTTTAGAGGTAAAACACATTTCTTTTTCTCAATCTAAAATTATCTTATCATCTGAGCTGCACTTCATTGTGATATAAATAATAATGTGCTCCTTCCTGTCTCAAATATGAGAAAAAAGTATTCATATTTGGTGATCTTGTACTGAAGCAAATTTAGCCACTTTTACTTTTTTTTAACGATGTCATTTCCACAATACCCCTAATTTAATGTGAATAATCCAATGACACTTTTATTTCCATGAAGAACATTTTTTAAGAATGAACTTTTATTTTTATAGAAAATTTATCTTAACCAAATTTCTCACCAAATTTGAAGTTAGTTAGTTTTGTTTATAATCAAAACCGGAGGGAGTATATCCTACTTACTATAGTCTCTACATAATTATTAGTCAACAAGTAAGCATTATTTGTTGGCTGGTGAGTGATAGTAATCTAATCTTGTGTTTGAACTCACACTATTGATGCAGGTCATTTTATTCATGTTTTCGTTGTAGTTAAAATTGTTTACCTTTGAATTTGTTTGTGTTTTAGGTATATAGAGTGTCGGATATGGAACTTGTCAGGGTGCTTCCTAGTGCAGAGGACGAGGTCAATGTGGCATGTTTTCATCCTTTTCCTGGGGGAGGGCTTGTCTATGGAACTAAGGTATGCTTTTAAATGCAAACTGAAATTTTTCACTTATTTAACTGATTGATAACCCTTTGCTCGTGGCGGTTGTAGGAAGGAAAGCTTAGGGTCTTCCAGTTTGACCGTGCTCACACTGTGAGTGGTACTGGATCTGGTTACTTACCTGAGGAGAACATTACTGGAGTCGGTCAGTGAGCAAGGTGTCATACTTTACATATTTTTGGGATTTGTAATTTTTGTTAGATAACTTTAATTTTCTTTTCTTATGGAAGTAAACTTTTTCACCCTTTCCTTTTGCTCTTGTATAAGTTATGAACAGTCAAAGCAAGAAAGGAATGGTTTCTATATCATGGCCATTTTCGGGATTCATGATATATTGATTTTCACATGTAAGTTACATGCGAAAATGTAAGGTGTTGTAGAATTTCAAAAACTATAAAAAAAACTAGAAGTATGCTGTTGTGCATTGTGCAGGGTTCTTGTGTTGAAAAATACTTTGGAAAAGATTAATATATTTTGAAAATTAGTTTAGTATTAATAAAAGTAAAATATATGAAAAAGAATGGTTGGACTTGAGAATCGGATGGTTAAGAAAAGATAAATACAAAAGTTTAGCTTTCAAAATTTTCATGAATTGCTATAATTTATTGGAGAATATTTTAATTATAATTTTGTAGATATTCTATTATAGTTTTTACTTATTCTACTATTTTCTTGTTACTTGGATCTTTGTGTGTTCTAATTTGATTATGAACTTCAAGTGAAGTAACCATTTTCCTTAATCAAGGTTGTGGAAATTTGTCATAGCTTATACCTGAAAAGTAAGAGGATATACCATCTATATATTTTGTATTGTCAATCATTACATTACAATATTCGTCTCAAAATAATTTTTTGTTTTTTAAAGATTGGTGTATATAGATTGAAAAAGATAATGATTGAATAATTAAATGTAATAATTTTATAAAATTGTCTTTGATTATTATTGGTTGTTATAAAGATATAGAATGATGTAATTATTACATAAAATTGTCTTTGATTATTATTGGTTGTTATAAAGATATAGAATGATGTAATAGCTTGAAAGTAGTGTAGATAATATTTATTAGGAATAAAGTTGATAAAAATTAATTAATGTGGGATTGAAAATATAAAAAAAAATATATTTTGGAACAAATTTATTTGACTATGGACGTAGGGGGAGTATGTTAGATTTTGTCCCTCTTAATTTTACTTTTTCCCTTTTGATTTCACTATGAATATGTTAGATTTTGCCTCTCTTAATTTTACTTTTTCTTTTTTGATTTCACTATGAATATACCATACTTTTAAAGTAACAACCTTTAACCAAGTGATTGAATTCAAGTAGTTAATGAGCTCCATTTAAAAATGAATTGTAATGAAAAATTCAAAACTTTGGTAAGCAAAATTTAATCCGTTTTTACTTATCTTATGTCTAGATTTGGAGGAATGTTAAAAAAAAAAAGGGTTATGACCTTGCATTTTTGTGTCTCTTGTCTATCTAATTTCGATATATGGATGACAAGAAGTAGGATATTCATAGGCAATTTCTTTTCCTATTCTTATAGGTTCTTCTAAACTCTTTAGCAAAAGTAAAAATATTTTTAATTTTTAGAGATTTATCTTTGGACGCATTTATTTTTCACAATATTGAACGCCAACAAGTGAGACACTCTAATTATACATGATTTTTATTCGGAGTTGCATTTTAGAATATTTTTTTGATATATTTCGAAGATGCATTTATGAAAGTAGTCTAGATTAGAGACACAAAATGAGCAAGATCTCGAAACAAAATCAACTTGGTATTAAACTAAAACACTTAACATTACATAGATAGTTGTTAACATAAATTTAACACTGTATATCGTTATAAACGGGTAGTTCAGAACGTTTCAACATATTGATAATATCGTCGGCAGATCTTTCAATCTTCACACCCACTTCAATCAAACCTTTTACCGCGTAAAGGTAAAATGTATTCCACATGACCAGTAAACCTTCACCCGTCTTCAATTCAAAGTTGGTAAATTGTATCTTCCCTTCGCTGTCAAGTGATTGTGAACGGTACTCAAACTTGATAACTCTCCAATTTTTTGAATATCGCAAGAGAGTATTCAATTTGATTTTCAGATCGATGAGAAGTATGTCGTTGCAGATCTGAAATTTAAGCGAGGATTTTACGCCATTGAAATACAAAAATGCAAGGTGAGGATATGCATTCATTCTCTGGTTATTGTGTGTTCTCTAGAAACACATGGTTTGCGAGACACCCAATTTGTATAAGTACTTGGTCACTTTGGATCATGAAAACCTTATCATGGCATCAGGTCACTTTTCAGAGATGCATCTCCATTCTCCGGTTAAACCCTGATTTTTTTACGAAAAGGGTGTTTATAGATATGCATATCCAAAAAGTTCCCTGATGGTTTTTTTAAATATGTATAAGGTTTATTCGGATATGCATATATGAATTTTACACAGAACCAAAATCAAACCAGAACCTGTACATGTAAAACATGAGTTGAGAGACACCCAATTTGTATAAGTACTTGATCACTTTGGACCTTGGAAACTTTATCATGGCATCAGGTCACACTTTCTAGAGATGCATCTCCAGTTAAACCTTGATTTTTTACGAAAAGGGTGTTTACAAATACGCATATTCAAAAAGTTCCCTGATGGTTTTTTTACTATGTATGAGGTTTATTCAGATATGAATATCTGAAATTTACATTGAACCAGAATCAAACCAGATGTAAAACATGGGTTGAGAGACACCCAATTTGTATAAGTACTTAGTTACTTTGGACCTTGGAAACCTTATCATGACATCATGTCACTTTCCAGAGATATATCTTCGGTTAAACTCTGATTTTTTTTACGAAAAGGGTGTTTACAGTTATGCATATCCGAAAAGTTTTCTGATGGTTTTTTAATATGTATGAGGGTTATTCGGATATGCATATCTGAAATTTACACTGAACCAGAATCAAATCAGAACCTGTACATGCAAAAACAAAAAATGCAAACCATAAAATTTGTAAACTGAAACAATCGACATTAACACCATTATTGCTGAATATATATTACTTATGTATTAAATCATATCAAGATTACATCGTTTATGACAATACATTAAAAAAATGTATCGATTACAATCTAAAATGACTCAAAAGACGGGTCACGGCATAAATCTACTATCGGTTCCTCCTTGAATTTTTTCTTATTTGATTCTCTTTCAAGCTCGCTCAATTTGATGAACTCTTCCATATTTTTTAGAAAGTGATCCGAACAAGTTTCCGCCTCTTTTGTAAAATGAACCTTCCACTCCAATGATGTGCTTGGTATAGGATGTCCCGGTTTCAAATAAACCTCAATAAAATGTAGCGATTTTGAAAGCCACCAAATACACATGATGTGCCCAAAAGGATCTTTACGTGGGCCACTCTGAAGTGGGAGAAATGCCTCTGAGAAACCATATCTTGTTAGATCGATACATACTATGTTATATGCACTTGCTGTAAGATGACCCATTTCAGGGAATCACATCCATTTTGACTCCGGTACGAGACCGCTAACACAAGGAATAAGAGTATCGTGAATTGCATCGAAATGTTATATTTTCTCTATGTGACATCACTTGGTCCAGACACAAACAATATTCTCATTCACTTGGTCTAGAATAGTACTCTCAACGTATTTTAAGAAATCTGGATATGTGACGCGCGCGCGCGCGCACACATACACACACTAGGTTTGACCATTTTTCCGTTACAAGTCTTCTGTGAATGATTTTAATATACCATTCCATGTATCCATTATCTTTTCCAACACCACACTAGGTTTAACCATTTTTCCGTTTTCACCATTGATTTATTTGGTGCCTACCGCCGGTTTGAGCCGATTTTCACATTTTTTGTAATGTGATATTGACAAAGTAATGTGTCAAATGTAGGAAACACCTTTGCAACCGAATTCACCAGTGCGATGTCTTGATCGGTGCCAATTTTATGAACAAGTATTTATATACTACTTTTTTTTATGAATATTTTTATTATTTAATTTTGATTTTTGTATAAAAAAATTAACATTGACCCCATTTATTAAAACTTCTAGAATCATCCCTGCCCAAATCACACTAGAGCCCATTGGTTGTTTCGATGGTGATTGATTTTGTAGCACCATACACCACTATGTGCATAGTGGCGGCGACAATGTTGTGCCATCTAGGCCGACCCTCGCCAAACATATTTATTAATATATTTCCTAACATAATACTAATATTTTTATCTGATTGTTTTTAAATTAATATTCATTAATTATTAGTTTATGAATAATTGTTTGAAAAACTATTTATTATATATTTTTCTAATTTTCCATTATTTATTAATTACATATTTAAATATTATTTCCTAACTAATTAATTTTCTATTTTTTTTAACTATTTATTTTCAAAATATTTAGTTAATATTTTACTAGAAGATTTAATTAAAATATTTTTTAATATATATTATAAATTTTTTCCTATTTTTTAAAAAAATATTTACTTATTAATAATTTTTGAATTATTATTTTAAAAATTACCTATTTACTATATTATTTTTCTAATATTTTTACTTGCTAATTTATTTAATAACTTATTTATTTATTTATTAAATCATATTTTACTTATTTATTTATTCACAATTAACATATTTGACTAAATTACTAACTAGCTTACTAATTTATTTTTCTAATATTTTTGCTTACTAACTTAGTTATAAATTTATTTACTTAACTTTTATATTTATTTATGAAAAAATATGTTTGTTATTTATTTATTTATTAATAATATATTTTACTAAATTATTTATTTATTTAGCTAAATTACAATTTTAGTCCTCCTATTTATTTTGCTTACAAAATCAGCCTCTCTGTTTTATTTTTCAGATCTCCAATACTAGTAATAAAAAATTGAAGTAAATTTTTACTACGTGACACATATTTGATGACGTGTAATGAGACAGTTGGATTTTTAATTTTCCATGACATTTTTAATTAAACTAAAACAAATTATTATATTTGATATTACTTAACTTAATATTTTAATTTAACAAAGAATGAACAAAAATGTCTCACGATTTTCTCGAAACTAAGAAGACGAAGATCATATGCAAGAACACAAAATACCATTATAATGAATAACAAATTGAACAAATATGTAATATGAAGGAAGACAAAGCTGAAATAGTTTTCAGGAAATATCATAAAATCTGAATCTTTTTCTGAGACCGAAAGAAGATCCCAAACCAAAATCCTAACTTCCATTTCAATGTCTAATAGCGATGGAATGTCATGCTTATGATGCACCATTGTCATAGACCAAGGAAGACCCCTTGTTTTGTTCTATTTATGTTTTTCACAAATTAAAAGTCAATATATAAATTAGGAATAAATTAGGTGATAAATATTGCCTTTTTTTTCCTTCCAATTTATAAGAGATTTTATAAAGATATGTGTCCCAAATTAAAAGTCAATATATAATTTTAATATAATACTAATATAAATTTAAATAATCTTTTGGTATTTGTAAATTAGGATATCTTTGTTTTCCATTTTTTTTAGATAAAGATGTTAAATATTGGATTTCATATAATTTAGTTTTTAAAGTTAAAATTTGTAAGAAAATTTGCATTTTTTATAGATTTTCTTTCAAATTTTCGTGTGGATTTTAATTTTAAGGGTTAAAATCAAAATAAAATTATATTCAGAAAAAAAGACAAAAAATCCTAAAAATATTAACTTACTGAAATTAAAAGACTATTTAAGTCTAATTATTTTTCTAATATAACCTCTAGTATTTATTATTCTCTCCGTTCTAAAATAAATGTCATACTTAACACTTTCACACATATTAAAAAAAATGTAGTAAATGAAAGAGGTAGAATACAGATTTTATCAAATTATCCTTATTCAAATTAACATTAATGCAAAGTGAAAAATAATAAATTAAAAATATTAATTAAAAAATATAATTAAAAAAGAAAAATTAAAATTGTATTGGTGAACTAAAATGACAAGTATTTTGAGACAAATATTTTTTTTTAATTGAGATACTTATTTTATTGGGAGACTTATTTTTTCTTTCAACTTTTTAACTTCTGTAGTGGATAGTAATATAATTTTACTTTTAATTGTTAATAATTTTATAAATTAATAAAAATAAATACAACAATAGACGAAAAAAATACTTTAATACAATATATATATTTTTAATTTAATTTAATTTAATTTAAATTAGTGTGAATTGAACTTGAGACAAAAAGAGAAATAATATAAGAAGCCTTAGTCAAACAAACATTAAAAAAAGAAACTGTATTTTAATATTACTACATTAAAACACTTTAAAGAACTGTAGTTTGAACAAGACAGTTATTCATTTGACTGATTGGTTCTTCCTTTGACTAAACCTGCCACTTTCCCCACAAAACCAAACATCCATGAAAATCCAAACCCTCTAATTCTTCCACAAAATAAGCAAAAATGTGAAAGAAAGAAAGAATAAAAAAGCTGTTATTACTACTTAATCACAACAACTAGTACTACTAACTAAGAAGATGATGAAGCTTCAAATTTGTAGTACTTATCAACAGCAACAGAAACATCCCAAGTACAACTTAGTCCTTTTGGAATTGTCACAAGATCTCCAGCACCAAACTCTACATACTCTGATGACCCTTTTGTGTATGCTTTCACTTTTCCTTTCACCAAATAGCATGTTTCCTCTGCATCAAACTTTAACTGGTATTTCCCTGGTGAACACCCCCATCTTTTTGATAGGAAAAAAACATCAAAAACTATATTATTATGAACTTGAGATAATTAAAAAAGTATTAGAGAGAAAACATATACATACTTGGGCCAACACTTGATGTTGAGTTCAGCTAAGGTTGATTCTGAAGGATTGCTTTGAATGGTGATTTTAAGATTTGATTTGGAATCTGAAGCCATGGAGAGTAGGGTGTAAATAGAAAAAAGGGAGTGAGAAAGGAGAATTGTGTTTGTTATGTTTTTTTGGTTAGAACAAAAATAGAGGGATTTTATAGAGAGAAAAAAAGGAGGAATCTTTGTTGTGCAGTGTTAGAATAGGATAAGAGAGGTCGGGGAGTATCTGTTATTTAAGAAACAACCTATCACATCATGACCAATATGAAACACTGCTTTTTTTTCAACAAAATCATTTAATGCTTCTTCAGCTCGTGGGGAATAAGGATATGTTATGGAAAGAATTCGATTCTATTCTAAATATAAAAACCAATATAAAAATAATCAAGGTTTTTCAAAACCTATTAGTTTTTTAATATTTATGATAAAGCAGTTTGTTTTTTAAATTTTCTAATTCTTAACAAGCATCATGTTGATAAAATAATGTATTTAGTTAGATAAATATAATATCCGTATTCGGTTTATATTAATACGGAGATTTTGAGATATTCGTGATTTATTTTTTTGTATTTATGAATATTATTATTAAAATATTTTTAAAATCAAAATTATAATTAATTACATTTTTTAATCTCTTAATACATATGACTTTTTTTAAAATTTAATATAAAAAATAAAAGAAAAATCAAATTCGTTTTATTTTTTAACAAACGAATAAAAAACATGAAGTAATAAAAATGAGTGGAGTTTTATGCAAAAACAAAAACTGACAAATAATAAATGTCAAAAACTCTCAATGTTGACCATCTGTTACTTATCTCTCCATTTAAAAATAAGGTGTTAAAGAATAAATTTAATGACTTTGTATCTGTATCATCTAACATAAAACCATCAATGAACCTTTTCATATGTATAATTTAAAATATCTATATGACTAAAAAAAATACAATGTATTTATTGAATAAAATGTGATTTGACTAAATACTTTTTTATTTATTTTTTAAATTATTTGTTCCTTTATAATATCATTATGATATTTATTATTAAAATCAACACAATTAATTATTATTTTTTAAAAATATGAAAATTTAAAGGAGAGCATCTATTGTAAGACGGGGAGAGTATATTTATTAAGGGCATTTACGGGTTGGATTGAGTCTAATTTGATTAAATTTAAGAAAATTTTACCCCATACCTCATCATTTATTCCCCTACGCCTACATTATATTTTTGTTACCAAAATATCCTCATATAAATAACTGTAAAATTTTCATAATTTAATTATTTGATTTAAAATTTAACAAATAAATCTATCTTTAAAAATAACTTTATTAATATTCTCAGCAAACATGACGAGTATTATCTATATCTATTATGTAATTTTATAATGTTTTAATCAAAGATTTTCTGTTAAAATTTTATAATGTCTTTAAATATATATATATATATATATATATATATATATATATATATATATATATATATATATATATATATATATATATATATATATATATATATATATATATATATATATATATATATATATATATATATATATATATATATATATATATATATATATATATATATATTATTAATTCTATCATTTAAAACTTTTGACTAAGTCACATTCTTATATTTTAAATAATCATTAATTAACAAATGCAATAAGACACATCCTGAATTTTTTCCTACCAATAATATGTTAACATAATAACTATCCAGCATAACATTTCTCTTCATTCTATTAATTAATCTTTTATTATTAATAATTAAATATTATTATTATTATTATTATTAATTAAATAATAAATAAATTAAAATATTTAACATATTTATTTTTTAAATTTCTCTCCACTCAACCCTCTCTATTTATATCATACAAACAATTAACCTCTCTCCACTCATACCATCTCTCTAAACGAAAATTAACAGGACACATAGTAATATTAAATTAAAAAAATTAAAAAAGAAAATACATTAGACATATAATGCAAACCTTAAAATTACTTAATACAAAAATAAGTTAATAAATATAATTCAGAAAATAGTTAAAGATTTTTATAGCCCCCACTAATTTCATTTTTTTATTTCATTTTTTTCATAAAATATTTGATGGAAACATTATAAGATTATATAATAGACGTAGATAATACTTGTCATGTTTACTGAAAATATTAATAAAATGGCTTTTAAAGATAGATTTATTTATTAAATTTCAGATCAAATAATTAAATTAGGAAAATTTTACACTAATTTATATGAGGATATTTTGATAAAAAAAATATATAATGTAGGAATAGCAGAATAAATGATGAGGTACGGAGTAAAATTTTTAAAATTTAATATCTGAGTCGATCAATATTTTTTGGGTTGAGTTGAGTGTTCAACCCGTACCTTTAAGACTAAACCCAAAACAAACCAATCCACTCATCAATAGGTTGAATTGAATTGGATTCCTAGATCATCCATTGAATATAATTTTCAAATTCTAAATAAAATATATCAATTTAGTTAAAATATTTATATTAAAAAATCATAAACTTCTAATATTTAATTTGAATAAAATTTATTGGTTAATTCCTAAAAAATATTTTACTATTTATATAAAGTTAGAAAAATATATCAAGATGTATAATATAATTTAAAATGTAAGATATATCTTTTTATTTTAATAAATAAAATTGATATCTCAAATTTGATTTAGACTTAAATTTTTATAATTAAGAAAAACTATAATTATATTTAAAAAAAAATGCATGGTAAGAATTATACTAGATGATTTATATATACAATAAAATAAAAATAGTATAACATATCAATGGGTTGGATTCACGGGTTCGTGGATTTAAAACTTCAAATACGTTACCTGAATCAAATACTAATGAATTTGAATGAATTGGTTTGGGTTGTACAAGATTAGATTGGATAAAAATAAAAGTTGAATTATGTTGGGTGGATGGGTACGCAACTAAGCTTGTGTTGGAAAATTAATTTAAACCGAATGGATCTAGGTTTGAATCGTGAACGAAATCACTTTTCTTAAAAGTATTTCAAGCACTTTCAAATGTCTTAGAGTTGGAACGTAGGAATAACCACGATAATTTAGTCTTATATTGAATTTGCGCAAGACCGACGAAAACTCGATTATGTAGCAAAGATTGTCTGGAATTTTGTACAAGAGAATATTTGGTTTGTGATGTGATTTTCTGACTTCTCAAATGAATTTATAGGTCATGCATGTGTTGTTTCACAAGGTTGCGACCTTGATGAAACAACACATTTTAATCAAAAGTTGTCATGTTTCCAACCATTGTCTATGTTCATTCTACAACAGCTCTTCACGAAATGTTAATTCTTTTCAAATTCAAAAATTAATATTCACTTGAATATTTTCTTGTCATTTTAAAACACACTTAGTATTATTAATTGTTAATCATTTACAACAACACCTCTAATATTTATTAATGATAAACACATAAGCAGTGGCGGAGCCAGCACCCGGCTAGGTAGGGTAGTTGCTCGGGCTCAACCGTCGACAACATTTTTCGGTTTAACCAAGAACAGATGCACCACTTACCTTTTCCGGTTGCATTTTCATTTCAATATTCATTTATTTAGTTCCCTCAATCTCATTTCATTTAAGATTCACTTACTCATAAGTTTCTCTATTTTTTTCATTTCAATGACCTTTCAGGTTAGAGAATCTTTTGGATATAAGGGAGAATGGGGATTCTGATTAGGAATTATGAGCCCTGTTTATTTTTACAGTTCATTTTCATTCGTCCAATTTATCAATTTATGATGGGCATGTTGCAGGTTGTGGTTTACGAATCGGTATTGAATTGTTGTCGTTGCCACCGTTTTGCAACTTGCACACTAAGTGTTCGGTAAATTGCCTCAACCAAGTTTCTTTTCCTTTTTCGTTTCTGTTTCTTACGAATCATGTGTTCGATAAATTACTAAGAATTTATATGCTTCCCAGCTTAACAGTTATGGACTGTTGAGAACACAGGGCCTCATTGGAGGAAAATGGAGGGATGCTTATGATGGGAAAACAACAAAGGTGTGTCACACAACTGCTGTTATTTTTCACTTTTTCAACTAGTTTTTGCAAAGTTTAAAGACAGATGGGGAAGGGGGGTTTGTTGATTCCTTTTCAATTAATACTGTTGATGGTCATAGTTTGTTGTTGCTGCTTATTTTTCTCTTGTTTTATTGCTATAAGTTCCATGGTAGTGCTATTGGTAAGAAATAATAATTTGATGTCTTCAATGGTATTGTAGGTATATAATCCAGTAACTGGCGAATCTATAGCAGATGTAGCATGCATGGGTGGAAGGAAAACAAATAATGCAATTTCCTCTGCTTTTGATGCTTTTAAATGTACACAACTTCACATTTTCATGCTATAATATCATGTATTATGGACTATAAACGAAATGTAGAGGATTAAGATATACTATCATAGATAACTTGATGTCTATGCATATGTTTTTACATATTCAAATAGGGTTGCAACTTTGAAAGTGAATATAGATGAAGTTTCAGCTTATAATACTTCAATGTTACAGTCAACAGAGTATTACCCTAGTTTTATTGATTTTAGCATGTTAATTATGCCCTTTGCTTATTTCCATTTGTTGATACTTGATGGATTTGATGTTCCATTGATTATAGAATTATGTTCATACGCATTATTGTTACTTATAGCAAATGATGAAATAACTAAAAAAACTTTGTTGTTGGTATATTCATAATACTATGATAACTATGATTTCCTCTGTGTAGCATGGAGTAAAATCACTGCTGCTGAGCGAAGCAAATATCTGAGGAAACGGTAAAGTTGTTGTTGACTCATTTCATGAACAACCTGCTTTGATGAAAATATTTGACATACTTGCTGTCTAGAATTTGTTTTAAGCATTGGGTATCAGAAAATCACACAACATATCCAAATAATTGGGAATTCTGCTTGGGAAGACTGGAGCCATCCTACGACATTGCATATTGGGGAGTGACTAATTTGTGATAAGTTTAGGGATGTTTTAATCAATTTCTCG